CTTGTGCGAGTTTGAAGGTTGCTGTGTGCCCTTGTCTCAGGATGATACATGGTCACTGCTTTTGCCCCCGTCATGCTGCCTGTTTGGTCACCGACACCTTTGACCCACTTTTGACCCGGAGTCTTGCAAGTCTTGCGAGTTGTTTTGTCTGCTTGTTCTCCATTTACCCATTCTGATGACATTGATATTCAGGTACAGGCATAACTGCTTTGCATGCTATCTTGAGGTTATCTTGAGATGATTTCGGGGCTTAGCATCCCCGTGGCCCGGTCCTCGACCAGGCCTCATTTTTGTTACATATCCCCAGGAAGCAACCCGTAGCAGCTGTCTAACTCCCAGGTACCTATTTACTGCTAGGTAACAAGGGCATCAGGGTGAAAGGAACATTTTGCCCATTTGTCTCCACTTCCACTGGGGATCGAACCCGGAACCTCAGGACTACGAATCCGAAGCGCTGTCCACCCAGCTGTGAGGTGGCTCGCTAGGTTTAAGTTGCTGCAATGCACTAGGTTGGTTGCCCACCCAGATGTCCCGAGACTGCCCTGTTTTGGTTAGGCGTTGTTCGCCCTGTCTCCCCCTTTTTCCCTGCTCCCGGCTCTAAAACATTTGTGGGTTTCAGGGTCGGGACAGGGTTTAGTTGGTGATGAGACTTGGGGAGCTTCGGGGGGTGCCCTGTTCGGGTTGGGGACAGAGGCATTCGACCCTGTTCTTCCTGCCGAATCTTCTGGGTATTACCAACAGACCCCCTTCTTTCCTGCCTTTTTCCCTGGACTTTGCCTTTTCTTCAGGGGTAGAGGGCATGGAGGATGACTCTGTCCCGGGGAGGTTTTTGAGTTGTTCCCATGATTTCTGCTCCCTTGCGTCAGCTGATTCTCCTTTTATTTTGGTGGTAATTTTCTTTCTGCTGGCGCTTCCCCACCTGGCCGCCAGAGCGGCACTGCAGTTTGTTTATATGTGCTTGCGAGTGTGAGCTCGTGTTTTGGGGGCGGTTTTTTGCACTCCTGTTGTTTTGGTCTTTCTTATGGGGCATTCTGCCCTTTCTGTTCCTCTGGGAATGTTTGGGTGTTGCCCGGTTTTGTGTTTTTCTGTCTGTGCTTGGGTTCTGGACCCTGGTTTTTGGGCCCAGTGTTTGTGCTGGTATGCACTGCTTGCTCCAATGCCTTTTGACCCTCGGTTTTCGGTCTGTTTTTTGGCAGTTTTTGCCAAGGATTCTCTCTGGGTCATGTGTTTTGCATTTCCTTTCTGGCCCCCCCCCCCCCCCCCCGGTTCGGTTCCAGGTTCCTTTGGGGTCTTCGGTTTCGTTCTGGAAGTTTTCTTCCTCTCAGGTTTCCCCTTTGATGTTCGGATGGCCCTTGGTGATTCTCTCCTGTGTGCCCCGGTATTGCCTCTTCTGAGGTTCCGACTCTGGGGGTCGGATTGGTGAGATTCGTGCTCTCTACCGGCACCAGTTTCTCCTCTTTTGGTCCTGGTAGTCGGTTTGTACGGTTGCAGCCGTCTATTTCTCCTGGTGAAGAATGAGATGGCCACTTTCTGCATGGGTCCTTGGGTCATTGATGCTTGGTTAGTCAGGCCAGGGGTTCATCATGTGTTGTGTCTATTTGCGGCTCTTCGCCGTTACCTGCGCGCCTCGGCTTCTGTGGCCAGGGATGCACTTTGGGTTGATCCAGTTTCCCTCATTCCCTGTTCTTGGGCTTGGGTCTCCTAGGTTGTCTGCAGAGTTTTTACGTTTTTACAACCTGCGGTCTATCCTCGTAATTACTGTGTAACATAATAGAAGTAGGATTCCTTGATTATTTCAAGCGTAGGCTAGACATACATATGAATGAGTTTGGGTGGATATAAATAGGAGCTGCCTCGTATAGGCCAATAGACCTTCTGCAGTTACCTTCATTCTTATGCATTGTCAGTACAGTATATTCAGGCATCCTGTTACTCTACTCTGCTGCTGTTTTTAAATTCACACACAATGGAGCCCTGTTATAAGACAACTCTATGATGTAGCAAAGTTTAATCATGCATATGACTGAAATTTGGTACTTTTACAGCTTTCTTTTTTTTTTGCAGTGTTGTCAGGCATTCAAGCCCTTAGGTATCTCCTTCATGGGTCTTGTCATTGATGTCACTGTATAACCCTGAGCCAGTTATCTTCAATTTGATGTTAGTGGGCAGCTTGGGGTACTGTTTGACTATACTTTAGTTACTCTCCCTTCTACAAGGCTTACCATATCTTCAGATCGGGTAAATGCAACAAGGGTAACCAGAGAAAGCGTACCTGGGGCCTTAGCTCAAAAATAGGGGTATTGAGCATAGTGAAAGACTTGCTTGCTTTTGGAGTATGGAATTAAAGTGGAGTTGCTGGCTCTACTGGTACTGTGTAATGATGGGTAACATAATAACTGGTAGTTAACAGAATAGTAATGGACATTCCTTGGGTTATCAACTTTTACTTGCTGGGTATTGTGAGTTGATCCTTTTAGTGGTGGCTTGAGTTAGACTAGCCACTGTCTCCCTGTCCTCTTTGTCATTAAGCTCAACCCAATTACTTTTAAACAAGGTGGTTAATTATCATTTTAAACAGAAAATAAAAGTATAAGCAACAAAAGTCTGTTACATTTGTTAAAAAAGAATTCTTCAGAGAAGTGTACATTTTCTACAGCTTGTATCATTTGCATTATTTCAGACGTTTATTATTATTAAATGCAGTTTGTTATGAACATTGATATATTCTTTTCATCCTCGAGTATAAAGAACATACACTGCAGCTAACTCTATTTTTAATAGAAAGAGACGTGATAAAAGAGGATTAAAGTTTTAATTGAGAAAGCTTGATATAAGTTTTGACAGGCCCTCAAGCAGTACAGTACAGTAAAATTACTCTTAACTTCATCATTTGCTAGATCTCATCCACTGCAAAAGAATTATAGTTCATGATCTTGGCAATGTTTCTACAAAAATTATGGTCTTTGTTATTTGTACATTATTTATTTGATATTATATCCATTTAGACAGTTGAACTTGCATATTATGCTACCAAATTTTACTTTGAAAATAAGTATTTGAATACTGTATTTGTTTTAACATTTTGGACAACACATCCCAGTCTCATTCAGATGCAACTATCTAGCCAGAACTGTTCCCTTTTCTGCCACTGTAATGATAATTTCTACAATAGCTGCAATCACAGATCTGCAATAATGGTTTCCATTTGAGTGGAACACCTAAAAAATATATATGAAAGCTAATGTTCAAAAGACTTCAGTGCCATCAGTCTTAGGATGAAGATAAGTGTATCCCGCTTTGTACAGCTTTATTTGTTAATAGTTTGACTTTTGAATGTTTTCCACTGCTGCTGCTGCTGCTACATGGCACTGCATCCTATCATAACCTTAAGCTTGCCTTGGCACTGGTACTTTTAAATCCTACGAGCAGCAACCAGTTTGTTGAAATTACCAAGCTTCCATCGTGGATAGAAAAATTATTTTTGAACTTCTCATTAAGATTTAGAGTTTACCTAAATTTATTTTTATAAAATTGGTTTACAGCCAAAGTACAGGTATTAGAAAATTTCAGTAAGGCAAGGCTGAGGAGATGGTGTATTAACCAAGTGATTCAAGTTAGAGCAAACCAGGACTAGAACAGCGCGCAGCTTACTCAGTATGATGCCCAAACAAGAAATTAGTGATTTATATCTTAAAACTTTAGTTTTCAAGTTGTAAATGTCATTCTGATACAGTAGCATTTAATGAATACATAAAGTGGTTAGAAGGCAGGTGAGCATGTGATTATTCTGCCGTGTTCCCTCTGGTTGCTCTGCAATGGTGCTTGCATGAGAACAATTGCAGATAGCTCCAGGGCTAGAAATACAGCACAGATTAGCTGTTTCTACTCAATACAAGGAATGTATGCTGTACCCATGTGACTACAGTAAATGAGGTCGAGCTCTTTGCCTATTAGCATTTTTTTTATTAGATTTTTTTAATCTCAACGTTAAATTTCAGTCATATTTGCTTTTGAAGTTGTGGATTGAAGTGCACAGAATTTTCATTCAATACATTCCACTTGTCAACCACATGTCTAGTCCTATTTGTCAAGATTAAATAGGCTATCTTTGTCCACCTTGCCCTCAAGTATCTTGCATGCTGTGAAAATATATAATCAGCTGCTGGTCTCCTGTAGGGTTGTCAGCTCTCTCTCTCTTGACTTGTGAGCATGGCAACTCTTCACTAAGGCTGGATGTGAATTGACCTCCTTAGAACCAATTAAAAGCTTGGGCTCTTGCACTACATCACTAATTAGTCGAGTTTTTATTTCATAGCAAATCACATTTAGTTTTAATGTCTCGCTCCCCTCAATGGCTTGTTATACATGTTACATGATACAACAGCAGAATGCATATAATTCTCTTTTGTATCAAGAAAAATGCATTACCACCATGACTATCATCCACTCTTTCCCAATTTTGGGGGGAAATTTCTCAATACCCACCACTCTAGCCTAAACTTATACCTCTCTTTATTAGCTATGATCAAAACATATCTCATTAGTATCACACACACTATTTTTTTTACTAATTTTGTAACATACTTACAAAACTAACTCTTGTAACTTACTACTAACTTGTAATATGCTTACAAAACATACCTATTTACTAACAAGTTTTCCGTTTGGCTTAACATGTCAGTCAAGGCTTGTGCATCATGCCTTCACGAGCAGTCTTGTTGCATATGTCAGTCACACAGCCTCTTTGTCAATAAATGTAAATTGTTCATCAAGAGAATTTTCAAAATATATTTCAGTGGGCCCACTTGGGCACTCCAAATCTTTCTGGTTTGAAACACAATTGCTTTGTCCTAAGTCATATATGTAGCTTTTACAACCACAAGCTGTCCATTTATACAGGTAGGATAGGTATTAAAATAAATTATATAATGTTTATAGTAGTGGTATATTCTTGATGTTGATGACTTGTCTAATTCTTTTCTAAATGTTTTTTTTTTCAGGTACAGTATTATTTAAAGGTATATACAGGCGCTATAAGTCTACCTTGTGAGAAGGAAATGAATGAAAGCATCATTCGTGAACTTGAAGAGCATATCAGCAAAGGCTTGAACATTAAGCATTTCCATAAAATTGGTAAAATGCAATGGCAGTACACTCAAAATTTAGCCGAATTGGCAGACTTACCAGTTCTTCCACAGGCTGTGAGAGAGTTGTATGATGCTGTGCATGCAAGCAGAATACTTTCACTTATGACTTATAAAAGAACTAGTTATAAAATTACAGGCGAAGACACTTGGGTTCAAGTTATGTAAACTGTTGTCGAATCATTGGAGGCCAACACAAAAAAGTTAGACTTACATTTGTTTAAGAGTTGGCAAGATCATGGAGTAGGATTTTTGTTAGCATATATGAGCAGATTGTGTTGATGCCTTTATATCCTGTTTATAACAATCATTTGTGTATACTGTATAGTGACACATGCAGGATAATAGAATACTTCCACACTTGTGGGCTGCCACTGTCACTATGCCCTCTGTCAACCTCATTCTTCCTCTAGAAACCATAAACTATTAATTACACACAGAGATCACACTAATGTGATGCATCAAATGAACAAATCCACAAGGGCCGTGACGCAGGTTCGAATCCTCGTCACGGCCCTTGTGGATTTGTTCATAAACTATTAATGATTCAATAGGCTTTCCGGAAAGAGAGCCTAGAAGGGGGTAAAGCTAAGTCAGATCACGCTTGTTAAGGTCAGATCATTTAACTACTGGATTGTATTTAAGTATTTAAATGCTCTGACCAACAAACATGATCTAACTTACCTTTGCCCCTTCTAAGCTTTTTTTTCCTTTGACTCTTTCATTATAAGATCATTTTTTCTCTTAACCACTTGGCTTCTAACCATAGTTTTTTTCATTTTTTTACCTTATTATTTTTCTAACTTTTTTTTATACCTTTTCATATTCTTCCTTTTTCCCCCCCTTCTAACTTTTCCTTTATTTTACCCGATTCTCTTTTTTTCTTCTGCATGTTTTGTTCACCATAATGAACCACTAAGGTGGTACGACAAGTCCAGACAATAGCAGGTTGCCACACAGAGTCGGCAGATGACGCTACCGCCCTCCCTCACTTTACTCCTCCCAACCATACTATGCACAGCACTAATTATCACCACAATCCTGCAATTATCAGAATCCTGGTAATTTTTATCACAGTCTGGGGTCTTCTGTAATACTATCATCGCTAAATAATAGCAGTTACATACAGTATATATTTTGACATTTTTAGGCAATGCTGTGTTCAAAAGCAAAACAGCAGTGATGTTAGCTCATGCTGCATGCACCAGCCTTGGTTGCTCATTCAGTACCGAGTCTCTCAAACCTGGGAATGCTACCCACGATTTTTTTTTCAAATGGCATCTGTTAACTAGAGCCCTGAGGAAGCTGATGTCAACCCCGTGTAGCCGCGGGACATTTAAATCATGCGCGGGACATTTAAATCATGCGCGGCACCCTCAATTGCATACTGTATATATGATGTGCGCAGTTCAGCGACATTTACTCAAATTGTATATATTCAATTTGTGCAGTTTAAGGATTAAATTGGCTCAATCGATAATTGTCTCAGATAATACAGTAGATCAGTTACAATGTACACAATCCGTCTCACACACACTTATTTACCAATTAGGTGCAAACATTTCCATACTAAATATGATCTCTTAATACTGTGCATGTACAGTATCTGCAACTTTTGTGTTCTTACCTCTGTGTGCTTAACAAAGCCTTTTCTCTTGGGACCTGCCTCTTTACTTTTGGGTATCTGGTGCAATCTATATGTTTAGTATGCATCAAGTCTTTTTACCATTCTTATACGAGGGATAAAGGTAGCCCACAGGCAGGGAAGTACGTGCATCCAATATTCAACATAGATACAAAGTGATATTAAAAATTTTTAAATTATATATACAGTATATATATATAATTATATATACAGTATGTATAATTATATACAGAGTTTATTTATTCAGTATGTATTAAAATACATGTTCCTTCAGGACTACAGGGATAGCCAAGATGTGAATGTAAGTATAGGTTATAAATTGCAAAAAATGTGATTGTTTTCTAAAGAGTTTACATTATGGGTAAATGACAAAGATCCAGTGATAAGCTATGATGTGTAATTAGATAATTTTTGTTATAATCGGTAAATGGGGCACACAGTTAGAAATCTGGATTATTGTAAATAGTAGAGTTATACTTAAGCATAATTGAGAATGTTGCTAAAACTTGTCTTACACTTGGTCAAAACTGGCTTTACACTTCCTAAGAATGAAGGACATTCATTGTGAAGAAAATTAAAGACCCAGTAAATGATTTTTCTGTGATAAAAGTGCTAGTAAAGATGTTTGATTGAATGTCTTCAGTACTGATAATTAAAGCACTGGTGAAATAGAGACCAACTGTTGATAAAATGTGGTAACTCAATGAGAGATTAATATTTTACTTGAGGATGAGCAAGTTGAAAAATTTTTTGAAAGGAAGAATTGGTAAGAATTACAAAAATTTAATTCAGTTGAGGAACATTTATATGTTTGATTGCAAAAGGTGGCTAGAGTAAATTATCTGACTGTGGAAGCAGTAGTAGTACTGTACTGACTGTGGAAGCAGTAGTAGTACTGTACTGCAGATATGAAAACCAATCAACAAAACAAAAAAAATGCATCACATAAGCACAATTGGGGACAATGAATATAAATTTTTATGCAGGTTCAGTACTTCATGGCAGTGATGAAAGGAGTGATTACTCTGCTGTCCCGCGAGGAAATGGATGATGCCACACTGTCAGAGCTCCATCGGCGTCGCCGTCTCGGTTACACTGATAGACATTTCCATAGGTTAGGACTAGAGAGGCAGCAAAACTTCACAGATGAGGTGTCGGCACTAATTGGAATCCCACCTGAAAAACCCTCTAAGAAAAAAATGGTCTATATTACACTAATTAGGCTTTACTTTTCAATTAATACATTCAAAAAATATCAGTACAAGATTGACAGCAATGACCGTGTGACAGAGATGCTGGACATGCAAGTGGTACACACCTGGTGGGATCTGGGATGGCTGGTAGCCAGGCAGACGGCTCGCCTCCTATGGCACGATTTTTTTGGAGTTTTAAATTTTGTTGTTGCTATGTTTTTCTCAAAGTTGAAGAGCTACTTTGTTTGACACCCGTCAAAAAAGGTTGCTTAATGTTACAGCTTATACAAAGCTAAGTCACTTCTTTTCAACTATTAGATTAAGCAGAGATTATATATTTTACATGCCATCAGTTGATATGTGTATGAAGGTTCTGAATGATGTTAGCTCACATTAATTAATAGGTTTTTCTGTGACAAAAACCATTGTGATTGGCTCAGCTAGAATGTGTACCTATGTACACAGTATATATATATATATGACTATTGTATATATGCTTCATGTATTGTATATATATATATATGAAGCCTCTACTCCTTCACAGATGCCATCTTATTGAATTGGCTTCGATACACATGCCGAACATGAACGTTAGTCCTGGCTTTGTTGCTGTTGACTCTCCTCTTTCACAGTACATACTTAAATCTGAACAAACATGAACTGACAAGCTTTGCCCATTTCTTATTCTTACCTTTTATTCTCGCCTCATTCTTACATTTATCCTATTCTTTCCTTATTCTTATGTTCATACTACTTTTACCTTATTCCTACCTTTATCTTCCCCTGTCCTGTTACACGACTTGATAATGGTCTAGGATGAACCAAAACAACATCGTTTCTTCACTTTTTGGTGTATGTTGTTTGGCCATACCTCCAGCCATATTATTGTGACTCATTGTCTCCATATATAACAAGAATTTATAATTAATTTTTTTTTTAATTTTAATGCTTGTATTTAATATAGTACAGTATTTGTATATCCTTATTTAACATTTAGGCAAGTCAATATGGTAACACCGTAATATTTGATTAAAGATATACTGTACTGTGCAGTTTAATTGCTGTTCTGGCACTGAAGCTAAATGCCAGTTTTGTGTGTACTGATTTTATACAGGAATATTTGATATTGTCTGGACTTTCAGGCAAAACAAAGTATTATATTTTGTTAATGTAATGACCCAAAAAGCTGTCACAGCTTTTTCCAGTAGTAGTAATAATTAAAATGATTGCAGTGATGGTAATACAGTACTATTAACTGTAAAAAATAAACACTTAACAAAATTAACAAATTACAAATTACAAATAATAGTACAGCTATATTAATACAGTAACTATGCTAATAACCATAATTCTTGTTATTGCTTAAAGTGTTTGTCTTACAATTCTGTGATCATTTCCTCTTGTGGGAAGTAAAGAATGTTTGAAGTCTTCTTGGCTTTGTGCCAACTGTGCCATGTCTGACAAAGGTGATGCTTTAAGATGCACACACTGGCTGTATGTTAATTGACATATGCCTGAATAATTTCCTGTTTATTATTACCTGATGTTTTATATACCAATTTTCATGTGGTGTAATGTTTTTACTTTCTTTCCCAATTATTCAGGTGATTTTATTTATTATATTAGTTAAATTACGTTCCCTATTCCTATGTTCAGTTATTGGCTTGTTAAGTTTACCACATTATATTACAAATTAATACTAAATGTTTATGAAATTTACTTAATACTTTTGCTTCCAATAACTGTGATAACAATTGTTTGCTTCCAATAACTGTGATAACAATTGTTTGCTTCCAATAACTGTGATAACAATTGTATACATTCTTAACAAAAAATTTTATCCAATGTATTTTTCAAAATGTTTAAAGACTTATATTATTCATAAATTTAATTTACTTATGCAGATGACCACATGCTTTCTGAATACTCCTGTACAGATACCAGACATAAATCCTTATAAGGGTGTCTGAAAAAAAGTAATTATCAAAAGAATGCAACAAACCAAGGAAACTAAAATGCACAATTAGTGAAGCAGGATATTCAAAAGGGACCATAAATATCACTAAGGATGTGAATGCAAAAACAAAAATGCATAAAGCAAGTTATAGTACCAGATAAAAAATAGCACACAGTTCAACTGTGAAGATACAGTACTAGCCTCCAGAAGTAGGAGGCTAGTACAGTACTGTAGGTTTGGTCCAGAAAAACTAGAGTAGCCAACACCATCGGCAGACTTTGATCCATCTGTGAATAGGGCAACAGTCTGTAAGCGCGAAGAAAAATGTTCAAGGAAAAGGCATTTCATAATAAGAGTGCCAGAAGTCTTTACCATCTGAATCAGTCTTTCAAACCTTTGTAAGTGGGATCCTCCATGGGTAGCCCGTCCTCAAAGTCCATTCCATGCACCTGCCAAACCCTGTTTATGAATGAAAACCGGTTTACATACGACTTGCCACTGATGACGTCCGAACACTTCCAGAACAAGTGCTTTGCTGACGACTTTTCTTTGAACCATAATGCTGTAAATGCTTCACCCACGTGCTACAAATAATCGCCAATAAAACCTAAACACTTAACCTAACTAATGCCTAAATATGTTAATATATAACTATTAATTTATATTAGAGAAAATTCCTGTTTTGAATGAACAGAATGTTAAAATTGTTGAATGTGTCTTTGGGGTCGACCGCTGGATAGAATGGACTTGGTCTGAGGACAGGTTGCAAGGATTGAACACAAGCAGACACTGCAAACAAGCCAAAAGGGAGGCTTGCAAGACAATTATAGTAAAAGGAAGGTGGTGAAAGGGAGCAGGGCCTACCAGAGGAGCAACAGCCAACAGCAAAAGTGAGAATGTGGATGTTGCAGAGACCTCCTGAGGTAGTAAAGGCTGTGATAATCCCAACAGTCCTGTAGTGACAAGATGTTGGTTTCAATATACAAACTCTGGTTAGGGGACAAACGAAATGCACCAGGGCTTTGATGCAATGCTCTGTATGATGCAGAGCATCAAGACAACTTATGGTCAAAGAAGAGGCACCCAGGTAGAGTGCAAATAGAAGTGTGTGTATCGGCACCCCAGGAGGTACGGGTTAATACTAAGTAATATAAGGGCCTTGGAGCATTTGACTTGGATGCAAGATATATGGGGTAGCCAGAAAAATGAGCATCAAAGATCAAACCCAAAAGTTTATACAGAATGGGACTACCATAGAGAAACAATGGGGGGGGGGGGGAAAAGAATGACCTGCTTCCAAATAAAAGTATTAGCACAAGTCTTAGTCGTAGAGAACTTTAAGCCATGATTGGTTACCCCAGTACAACACAGCATCAATTGCAAGTTAGCGCCGGTGTTGGAGGAAAGGGGAGTCATCCCCACAACAGCAGTAAGAATGTGAACATAAAAGGCCGAGAAAATGCCAGAGGGAAGGGAGGAAGCAAGACCATTAAGGCGAACAAGTTAAAGTGCTCAGAACACTCCTGAAGAACACCTTCGCACTGATGAAAGAAGGCAGAGATGATGGCACCAAGTCTCACTTTAAAGGAATGACAAAGAGGGAAGCTATGAAGGACAATTGGGAGATTACCACAAAGACCATAAGACTGAAGCTGGGACAATATATTGTACCCCCAGGTAGTCATAAGTCGTAAAAAAAAAATGGCAACCACAGGTGTCTTTGTGGCAAACGCAGAACAAATATAAACCTCTAGATCCACTACAACATCAGTTGTGCTGCAATACTAATGAAAACAAATTTGAGAGAGGGAAAGAGGTTGCATTAGTGTTATAAGAACACTCTACGTGGTGTAGTGATAAGACGCTCGCCTGGCATTCAGCGAGCGCTTTGTCATGGGTTCGTATCCTGGCCGGGGAGGATTTATTGGGCACAAATCCTTAACCATAGCCTGTTTAACTCAACAGTAAAATGGGTACTTGGTTGTAAAAACAATTCTTCGTGGGGGTCGTATCGAGGGACCATAGGATTAGGAACTTGCCCAAAACGCTACGCGTACTAGTGGCTGTACACAAATGTAAGAACTCTTGTATATATCTCAAAAAAAAAAAACCTACACAAGATGGACATTGACCATATGAACTCAGAGCAAGGGGACAAAAATCTTTAGGGGAAGGTTCCTTGAGTACCTGGTTTCCGCATAGGAATAAAACAGCCTGAAGCCAGTCTTCGGGGACTGACAAGTCTCCCAAATGCGATTATAAATATTTAGTGAATACTGAAAGGCACCCCTGAGTGAGATGGGAAAGGCTGGATGGAAGGCTGACTCATCTAGCCAAAGACAGACGACTCAATAAATGCAGCCTTGAGCTTACCGCTTTAAAACCACAGAGGAACGGGGCAAAAAAGTAGTTCTGGTAGAAGGGATTGTTATATTGGAGCTAAAGGAAAGTGTGAAAGACCAAGGTATTAGATTCGAAAAGGGGGTTACATGTAAGGAAGGTAGGATAAAGACGAGCATTAGCACTAACAGCTGAAAGTGGGAGCCCAGTTTGTGACCAACACTAGATCCACGACGACAAACATGGCAATGAAAGACAAGCGATATGTCTGGAACAAACTTGCCTGCAATCTTACGGACCTTCGTTCAAGTCTGGGGGAAGGTCTGGGTGTCAATTTTAATGGTTGAGACATGATCTTCCCCCTGCCAGGTAGACCTGGCAGTCTTTGAGGTTTCAAAACATGGTGCAAGAAATCAAGGGCCAATCCCAACATTCAACGGTATTTTTGGACACCCGAACTGGGGTCTCAGGACAAAGTAACTAGATGAGTGGCCACCTCCTAAGGAGGGCCACAACTACAGTCTGGGTGGGATTAAAAGTAAGTTGTCACAATGGAAGATGGAGTCACACCAGGGGTGGTTTGGAGCTCAACTCAGCAATGGAAATAGGAGGGAAAGTAGAGAATGTCAGTAGGGTTAGTCAGAGACGAAGCCTGATCTGGACCCAATGTAGCCGGAGCTACGGAGCCCATCCTTCCATCATGGGCTGATGACTTGGAGGGGGAAGGGGAAGCCTGCTCACCCTCCCCACGAGTCTGAGGAGAAATAAGATCAAAAGTAACAGATAAAGACTTCACTGTTCAGCACACGCACATAGACCACATAGGAAGCATAAGGGCAGACAACTTCAGCGAGTAACCAGTACACTATATGTAGGTCACCATTGCAGTGCTGAGTAACATCCCAGGGACCAATAGGTGTACCAACCTTACAATGCCTACTTGACCCGATGTCTAACTAGGCGAGGCTAACCAGATGAGCCGATTGGTTCAGGTGGGCCATACTAAACCTCACATTTAATCCTGTCCCCTCACCAAAGAAAGGTGATGCCCCCCTCCTTCCCAGGGGTTGCAACCACTGGGTAGGCTCAACTCCCATATGAAGGTACATAAGGTAATGCACAGGTTCCATGCAGTGCTAAGGCATGGGGTGTATTTTGCTTATGCACCATCACAGCAAGCAGAAGAGGAGAGGAGACCAGGAATCATCTGCCCAAGGGTGGCACACAAGAGCCCCCCTTCACCACCTCCCTCTGAGGGAAAGTCATAAAATAACTGGGTGATAAAAATTTGACAATTATTAAATAAATTTGGGTAAAGGCTACTTCTATTACTGAAACTATAACGAGGGAGAACTGTACAGTATTATCATGTACACAAAATCTCAAAATTCAATTTTTTTAAACACTAATATAAAGATGTACAACAATAAAAAAGAAATGTATTCTATATTGTATTAAATTTCAGTAAAACAGCAGTACAAATAATTTTCTGAAATACATGGTTCAAAGAAATGTTTCAACCATTGGGAGTTTAGATGAGGGTTACAGCGCTCGAGTGAAGCAAGTGACTGATGGGTTTGTACCGCATCAAATGCTGACTGCCTTCTTCCAAGTCTACCTCTTCATCTCTGCAAAGAAGGAACATTTAACATAAGTTGCTGTCTTTTCATCACATGCACTCAATCACTCTCGCACACCATTAATCATTACCACTAACAAACATGGTAGTCAAAACACTAGAAAAATAGTTAAAACCAAATGAGAACACTGGGAGAGTAATGACATAGCGGACAGACAGCTTGATTTTCGAACAGGAAGATCCCGTATAAGAAATATTATTAGTTTTTATGATAAAGCCGCAGAGATTCTACAGGAAAGAGATGGTTGGGCTGACGGTCTATCTGGGCCAAGAGTCCCACACAATAGGTTGCTTTGAAAACTGGAACATGCTGGAGGGGTGACAGGGAGACTTCTGACATGGATGAACAATTTTCTAACGGACAGACAGATGAGGGCGGTAATCAGAGGCAATGTATCTGATTGGAGGAGAGTTACTAGCAGAGTACGACAGGGTTCAGTTCTTGCACCAGTAATGTTCACCATCTACATAAACGATCTAGTAGAAAGAATACAGAATTATATGAACATGTTTGTGGATGATGCTAAAATACTGAGAAGATAGGAGATGCAGACGATTATTATGTCTTCAATTTGATCTAGATAAAATAAGTGCTTGGAACGACATTTGACAAATGGAATTCAATGCGAATAAATGCCATGATATGGAATGTGGAATCAGAAAATAAGACCACACAACTTAAATTCTGTGGAAAGGAATTAAAGAACTCTAATAAAGAACAAGACCCAAGGGTGGTTTTGGATAGTAAACTGTCACCAGAGGAACACAAGAACATTGTGAGAGGAGCGTATGTGTCTCTTGTATTATGCTTTTCAACTTCAGACTTGCTTTTAATTACATGGATAGTGAAATACTTAAGAAACTGCTCACTACTTTTAATTGTAGGACCTCCTCAACCCTGGAGGTGTACATTGCCTAACAAAGGTTTCGCTAGGAGGTACAACATACCTAAAGTTCCGAGTATAAAAACACTTACATAAATTCAATTCAATTAGTAAAATCCTAATGTATGCACATAGACATGGATAAATTTTTCAAAAGGCCTTAATACAATATGTGAAAAGATAAGTCATACACAGGGACATCAAAAACACCCAGTGGACACCTTCTCAACAGGTTGCGTGTTGATGGAAGGTGTGCTATTGTTACGGAAAACTAGCTTTAACCAGTATATCTCTTGGAGATTTCTCTTTGACCCGTGCCAACATAGGAGGTAAAGGTGGGAAGTTTTGCCATGCCGGATGTTCTCCCCAGGCGGTCTTAGCCAATCCCATAAATTGGACAGTTCTTTGCATAAAGGTCTCACTATTCCCGGAAAATGGAGGAGTAATAAATAAAATAGAAAGAGGAAAATAGAGGATTAGCATCTCGGGATCTCGCTGGATTTAATAATTCTTGTCTGTTTTTGCCATCTATTTTTATTTTGGCATCTTGTATATTCTCCAGGTAACCTCTTATTTCTGAAATGATTCCATAAAGATCCTTCTGCCTTTTGTAGTTTATCTCCGTTACTTATTATTCTTTTAAGCCTAATGGCTAAGAAGTAAGGCAGTGATTTCTTGAGAGATAATGGGCAACTAGACGAATAAAGCAGGTATGAATGAAGTTCTTTTACTGGCTTCTATATACACCCTTGTATCTAGAAAGGGTATGCTTGTATCATTGGTTTCTCGTGTGAATTTTAGGTTTTGCACTTGTATTTTCCCAATTAAAGAATTGATCCAGTTCTTGTCTGCCTCCTACCATACCAAAGATATCATCTATGTATCGTAGGTATATTAATAAACTCTGGTCTAGCTTTATTCTGGCCGATTCAAAGACTGTGGACAAATATTTCGGCTATTGCCACACTGCTTGATGCCCCTATTACCGTACCCTTTATTTGTCTATAGGTTTTACCATTGAAAATTAACAGTGTCCCTCATTACATGTCGCTCATTTTTTTCAATTTTCAACACAATTTATATTTTAATCTCAATTAGTATTAAACTTTAGTCTAAGGGTTCTTTTTTTTTTCTCCCCTCACCTTGCCCAAAACGCTATACGTATTAGTGGCTTTAGGCACTAGTATGTACTAGCTCTATCTATAAATCCAACATAATGTTTGTAACTCATCTTCTATGTATGTAATTTTACCTGAATAAACATTTTGAATTTTGAATGTAAGATAGCTTCCTCTAACAGTTCCTTTGCTTGTAGCATTAAGACTCCTGCTTGTCTCAGGCCCTGTTTAATTCTAATTTTGTTGATAAAAATTCTGCCACCCTTTTAGCTGCTGCTCTCTGTGGTACTCTGATAGAATGAGAGAAAAGAGAAGTTCAGAGAGAAAAGGCATGCCCCTTGTGGTATAGGATCTCTTGGTGACTGGCATCTCCTTATGACGTCCATAGTGTCTTTCAGACGTTTCAGTAGGAGTTTAAAGAGGGCTGTGCATATCCAATCCAATGGCCTGGTTGGGGCACTACATCCACTTAAAACTGGTCTACCCTGCCAAGAGTTCATATCATATCCAAATCTTTTGTGGATTTTAGGGAGGTTATATAGTGCTGGGATTTTAGTAACAAAAGGTAAGAGTCTGTCTCTTGCTTTTTGCTTTAATCAGATCCTCACTGTCCCCAGAACTATCATCTTTAGTCAAACACAGTTGTTTCAAGGTTCTTATATAAAATAAAATATACCAATAATTACAATAGCTGCAATGCTAGATTTAATAATTTTTATAACATCCTTTTCTATCCTTGAAAAGGAAATTCAGAAGAGAACCTAGAGTGTGAAGTAGTGGATCAGAATGTAACTTGGTACTGTGTGTACCAAGTCCATTCTAAAATGTATTATGTTGTACAGTATAATTATGCAAGAAAATGCAGGTTATCCTAATTCACAATAAATATTTGGCATTAATATTATTTCATCTAGTGAAGCAATACTGTACTGTATACTGTATTACATATAAGAATATACTGAATAAACACGGAGAAGAGTTATAATGATCAAAATAGTATATTTTTATATGCTTTGAATTTCACAATTGCACAGAAAATTTATTAACTAAATTTGATACAATTTAATTTTACCAAGACCGTACAGAAAATTAATTGTTTCTGCCAAGGGCTAGTTAAGTATGCAGTCATAGAGGTAAATGTACACGTTTATTGTAAACGTACCGTCCTTCCCCAGTGTCGTCCTCAATCAAGACTCCTGGAGTCTCTTTCTTAACTCGGAGGAATATGTAACTATCCATGTTAGGCTTAATACTCATCTTGGCAGGGTCAAAGGTACGAAGGTTCTCCGGTACATGTTGCAGCACAAGTGATTGGAAGTGAGACTCCAGATTTGATGCATAGCTGAGGGCAAAAAATGGTTCCTCTTGAGATGAACAATAATACATACAGAACAGTTCTGCAGATTACTGAAACTATATGTTATATAGCTTTCTTGAGAATGGTTCAAGAGTAATATTGCATACTGCATAGCATTTAAATGCATGTCTTAACATTTCAAGAGTTGTTTGTTAATAGATAAATTGTAGCATAAATTGAAAATTATTAATAGGTACATTGTATCAAAATTTGCATTCAACATAACTATGATACAAGGAGGCAGGCAACACATATAGGTGTAGTCAGGAAAAAACAACAGAGTAGCCTACACCGTCTGCAGACTTAGACCCATCAGTGAAGACGGAGATGGAGCGGGAGTGTGAAGAAAAGTGTTCAAGGAAAAGGCGTTTCAGAACTGTAGGAGGGGTAAAAGCTTTAATCACGTGGGTCAGGGTTTTACAAAATTTAGGAAGGGGGACTCTCCACGGGGGCAAGGACGAAACAACACAAGGAAAAGTATTGGTAACACTAACCGAAAGAGAATTTTGTATGAGAGATAACTGGACCGAAAGAGGGAGGTGGTGAAGGGGAACAGGGACTACAGGAGGGATAAAAGTCAAAGCACAACATAGGCGAGAGTGAGGGTGTTGTAAGGATCGCGCAAGATAGCGAAGACAGTAGCGATCACGGTGGTCCTGGAGAGACAGGAAGCCAGTTTCAATATACTGTACAAGCTGAGCGTAGAAGTTGAATGAAATGCACCAGAGCTGAGGCGCAACCCAGTATGGTGCAGAGCATCAAGACGGCAAAGAGTAGAAGGAGAAGCAGACGAGTAAGCAGGGCAACCATAATTGAGTTTAGTCAGTACGAGAGAGGAATGTAAAGAAAGGAGCGTGCGCCTATCTGCTCCCCAAGAAGTATGGACCAAAACGTTAAGTAGGTTAAGGGCCTTAGAGCATTCAACTCGGAGGTAAGACTAGTATAGGTAGATTAGATATCAGTCTGCAATTGTTTATGTCAACCGTATTGTCTCCTTTATGAACTGGTATTACTCATGCTTTTTTAAGGATATCAGGGAATTTATAACACTAGAGATTTGTTGAATAGCAAAGCAATGGGTGGTGCAAGGACAGAAGTGGCAATCTTGTATACCATAAATGGTGTTTCACTAGTGTTCCCAGCTATGGTTTTTAGTGAGAATGATGGACATGACATCTGTCAGGCTGACCGGTAAAATGAGAAGAGTTAGGATAACTACTGGTAAGATATGTAGTAACATGTGTCTGGGTCTGTGGCATTTTTCTGGCAAGGTTAGCACCAACTGATGAAAAGAAGCTACTAAATTCGGTTGCCATTTCTAAGTCTGTTGCAAGTGTGTAACAATCCTTGGAGAGTTTTATCTGCTTGTTATGTGATTGTTGTTTTGATCCTAGGATGTTAAAGACGACTTTCTATGTTTACTTTTGCTTCTTTGAATTTACTTGCATAAAAGGAAAGTTTTGCTCTTATTATTATATTGCTGAGTATTGATGAGTATCTCTTAACTACTATTGTTTCTTGTCAAGAAGTATGCCACTTGTGAGCCAGGAGTTGTTTAATGTTTTGGAAGTTACTAGCTTGATGAGAAGAGAACAATGTGTTGTAGAGGCTTGAAAGTTTTGGAAAGGAAAATGTTGGTCAATGAATTTATATCCTGTGTATTATTGAATTCAGATTCCCAGTTTATATTGTGAAATGCATTTGTGAGATTCCCTATTTACGCTTTGCTGTGTAGCCTAAAGGTAAGTTTCTTAGTATCCAATGGTTTTATGTCTACGTTTGCTATGAGGAAGGTAGGATAGTGGTCAGTTGTTATAAGTGATTATGCCAGATGCAAGGGGAGCTGTCATTTTAGTCCATATATGGTCCAAGGTAGTAGTGGTCCAAGATGTATTTTGAAGATTGTGGTTAAAAAGCATGGGCTTTTGATGTTCATGCAGTGTTCTTGAATTGTGTCTATAACACCTACTCTTCCACGGATTTATTCTCCATTTCTTACCGTATCTTGTGCCCCAGTAAATATACACATGCAAATATGTGAGGGTTGGCAGATCCAAAATCATTAAACAGGAATAACTAACTGGTGTGAGGTATATGGTTGAGGTGTTCAACAATTAAGTAGCATGCCATAAGCACATTACAAGAACCTCCTCCCAGCACATTAGAATATTGCTGGAATAAACCAGAAAATCACAATTAATTAACAGGAGAAAGTTCTAAGAGATAAACATGAGTTTCCTCAAGCATTGTGGGCTTGAAAGGTTTGCATAGCAATAGCTTGCTGGTGAGGTAGTCACCGGGAAACCTTGATCTTGAGGAACAATTATAGTGACCTGATATAAACATTAAATACAAATATTAAGTGTTCAAAGTGTGCCATTATCAGTTATATTATCTAACAAAATAAAGGAAATGTACCTACTCTTTTGCATATGCAACTTCATGTGGTGACAGTGTTGCCATACTCTCATCTGCGATATTTGCTTCTTTTTCCAAAAGATAATGAGCAAATCTTTCAATTTTTTCAAGTCTCACACGAAGATAGCTACTTATTACGTATCTTATTCTATCAATCTGAAAAAAATACATATACTGAATAAATCAATACGGTATTATACTATTAATAGACCAATTTAATAAAAAACAATATACAGAAGAACCTCAGTGCTGCAACAGCTTCCAACTCAAACAACTGAACACTCGAATGCTGTGTTCATGCTCGGTAGTCAACTGTTTGCTTGGCACTCAAATGTAAACACACGTAATGGATGAGTTGGTTTCCCAGTAGCTGTCATTCAGTGCACACCTCACTAAACTTCTCTGTAAAGTTTCTCATGTTTTCTGGAATATTTTGTATACTGTATTCTTAGCCAACCCATCCTCCTGTTTAGACGGTACTTTTTATAGCCATGTGCACCATAGTACAAACATTGACGTACAATTAGAGGGTAGAATTTTGTACTATTCACTTTATAAGAGTCCGAAAAGAAATGAAGCTAAAAAACAAATATTCCTAGGCCTAGTATAGCACACACATGTACTATAAATAGGCCTTGATATTGTGTATTAGGCCTATGAAGGTTAGGTTAGTTTTTCTTTGCAACATAAATAGAAAATCATTTCCGGTTTGTCCAAATTTAATAGTACCGATTTCTACTTTCTAATTGTGGTGTACGTCAATACTGTACATGTACTATGGTCCTTAACGTTACTATAGGTACTACCAAACCAGGAGGATGGGCCGTCTTAGCATAAGTCACCATGGCACCTAAGAAAGTTAGTGATAAGAACCAACTGAAAGGAAAATTACGGTAGTTAAAAAGTTAAAACATTTACAGGACATACAGGACTCATATGGCTGATGTGACTCAGTAGAGGAAAGCCATCTTGGCGAGATGGCTTCAGGGAGCCACCAAGAAGCAGCAGCAGCATTGGATTACCAGAGAGATATACTAGTATATACATATGTACTATACAGTACTAGTCCTAGGAATGTTAGGGGAGTTTAGTTTGTCAAAGTAACACAAGTAAAAAAAATAGTTTTCCGGTTTGTCCAACTCAATAGTTCAGATTTCTACTTTCTAATTTTGTTATACGTTGGTATATATAATAAGGTCCTTATCGTTACTATAAGTACTACCAAAACAAAACAGGAGGATGGAGTGAAAGAATCAGATGGCACTACTTGCAAGTGGTTTGTGCAGCAGCAGTGTGGAAAGTTTGCCCATTTTTGTTGTATTTCATAGAGTAATCCCATTTAGCTGACAGAGGTTTACAAAGATTGATCCTGGGCATATTCATGTATAGTACAGTATATTTAATTTTCATATATTATTTTGCTGTCCATATACAAAGTATAATATACCCAGAAGTGTTCTATCATTTGGGGTATACAAAAAATAATGGCAGTGAAAAATAGCAAGAATTCTTAGAGCCGGGAAAGGTCCAGTCCTAATTAGTCTGCCTGAGCTCTGGACACACTCTTCAATTGCTTATGTCCAATGCACCACTGAAGAGCAACCAGATACCCATTCTTTCTTTACAAAGTGACAGCAATTTTCAACTGTATTTTTTTATTTACAGGTTTTCAATCTTAACACTAATCTTACCTCCATTTTATGAATAGCCAATCTAAAATCGTGTTTTTTGCATCGTTTAAGGTTTTCAGTCATTTGGTTGATCTGGTCAAGCATACAATCTACCAGTTCACTCTGATGACACTCTAGGGTAGGAGACATTCGCTCTGTGATCCAAGCCTGAGGGAAAAAAAAACTTGAGTAATTCAGATTCTGTAATCACCTTCCAAATAGAATTTCAACAGAAAAAGACTAGTGGTTACCAGAATTTTTAAATATTCAACTAAAGCCAGAGATATTTCATACATATTCTACAGTACTTCAACTGTTAATACAAATCAAGGGAAAATACATTAGATATAAAATCACACAGATCATTATGTATGTTTAATGAAGTCACTTAATATGCACACTTACTAGTTAAAAGGCAATATAACATGTTACACAATCAATACTTACTTTCCCCATAAAGTACATACATTTTATTGACAAGCCAATTAAGAACATAAAAAATGGAACTTGCAGAAGGCCCAATGTAAACATTAGTAATAAAAATTATAGAAAGTTCCTTGGCCTATACTTAAACAAGAGACTCAACTTTAGTACCCACACACAACACATAACTAAAAAGGTTTCTAAAACAGTTGGTATACTCTCTAAGATCAGATATGTACCCTACTCTGCTCTTCTCTCACTCTATTATGTACTAATCTATCCCTATCTTACTTATGGTATCTGTGCTTGGGGCACAAATACCATCTGTGCCCCTCTTTCAACCTCTGCAAACTACCTCAAGCTCATCATCACCCAGCAAAGATCTGCTATCAGGACAATAACAAACTCTGCTTTCAGACAACACACAGCTTCCCTGTTTAAATCCCTAAACATGCTAAACATAAATTCACTCCATACATTCTCTTGTGTCAGTTACATTTATAAAACCCTTTTCTTAAGTGCAAACCCTGTTCTGAAACTCTTCCTGGAAAGATATGATAGAACACATACTCACCACACCAGACATAAATATCTCTGATATCCCCAGAGTCAAACTTAATCTGTGTAAACACTATGCAAATAAAGGGACCTAGTCGATGGAAGTCACTCCTTAATGAAGTGAAACGCTGTCCAACTTTTGCCTTATTCAAAACTAAAACCAAAAAGTACTTAATTTCATCTTCATAGTTTTCTACCTATTGCTTTATCTGCACACTGTACCTAGTGCTACCCAATCCTCCAATATTTGTACCTAAGCCATGTTACTTTACCATTGTAATCTTAGATATTATCTGATATCATGTTTGTTGTATTGAGTGCATATTCTACTGCATTATTCCTTGAAATGTTATCCTAATGTACCTAGCAATCCTTGTTCATTAGTGTGTACAGTGGCACCTCGACTTACGATTGCCCCGACTTATGATAATTTCGAGTTACGATGTAAATTTGATCGAAAAATGCGACTCGACTTATGATAGTGTCGTCGACTAACGATATTTGTTGGTACACGTTTGGGTCAACCGAGCGTGTGGTTCCCAGTCACGCGGGCCGACCTGCCTCAGTTTACTAGAGCTGCCCGCTTAGTGACGATCACGCCTATAAGAAATTCCGTTTTTGTGGCAATTTTTGGCTTTTTGAACATAAAACTGATTATTATATATCACACCATGGGTCCCAAGAAAGTCAGTGGTAAGGTTCAACATATGAAAACACATTTAAGAATGACCATAGAGGAAAAAACAAGAGGTCATAAGTAAACATGAAAATAGTACTCATGTTGTTGAACTAGCTAGGCAGTACAATAAATCTTCAGAGGAGGAGGAGGTGGCGGCATTAGAGGATGTCCTTTCCTCATTAATTAAGAAAATGTGTGCAGTATGGGAAGGACTGCAAAGTTTTGCTGAAAAGAATCACCCAGATAAAGCTGTAGTAGGCCGTTGCATTGATCTTATTAATGACAATGTGATGCCTCACTACAGACAAGTGTTGGAAAGAAGGGAAAAAACAATCTTCAATGGAACGATTCTAGTGAGAAAATCAAGCAGTGAGCCAGAAGCAAGTCCTAGTGGTATGCAGGCAAAACGTGCTAGTGTATGTACCCCAGAGAAGACCTCACTGCCTTATGTTATAATGGAAGGGGACTCCCCTTCCAAACAGTAACACCTCTCCTCCTCGCCCCTCATCACCATCTTCCATACACCATCAAGAGTCCTCCATAGAGGTAAGATAAACATATGTACTGTATTGTAGTTAGAGAAAAAAATTGTATTCAGTATAAAATGTATTTGTAAGTTAATATTTTGGAGGGTGGTGAACGGATTAATTCAATTCCCTTTATTTCTTATGGGAAAAATCGCTTCGACTTACGATCCAGTAATCCGTCTCTGGGTACGGATTACCATCGTAAATTGAGGCCCCACTGTATTGTTATTATTGTGTATTATTCTAATCTGCTTTTGTGTCAATTTCTTACAATATACCTGTAAACATTTGTTGTCAATTTTACTGTAATTATTCTACTTAAAATTATTTGTACCTGTAAAGTAAAGCTGTAAAGGATCTGTAAACATCTTTTGTCGATTTTATTGTTAATTATCTAAAAATTACCTGTTTAAGGACTTGCCCGAAACGCTGAGTGCTAGTGGCTTTACAAGAATGCAAATTCAACTTAATTTCTATGTTCTCTGTTAACCCCCAATGTACCTTCTTGTATATAAATAAATAAATAAATAAATAAACTTTGCTCATTTGTTTCCGCCTCCGCCGGGGATCGAAGATCCCAGACTCTTAGGATTACGAAACTAGAGCGCTGTCCACTCAGCCGTCAGGCCCCATAACTGAGCTCCACCAGCCTACCTCTTCCAGCTTATGCAAGACCTCAGACGCCGTCATGGCCTCGCCCTCCTCATCAGACCCCTCAATGACATCTTCCTCCGTATCCGACATGTCGGTAGTCAAGAGACGAGAGTCGTGGCCGAGGAGCACCTCACCTGCCTGACGCCGCCACCCTTGTGGCAGCGGGTCACTCCGTACACACCACCACCCCACACTTCTATTGTTACCATTTCGGACACAAAATTTGAACGTTTCGTATATATACGAAAATATATAATTGCTCAATATTAAAACCACAATATAATGCTATTAACAGTTAATAATCTTCATATAGGCATATAGTTATTGAATTAAGGCAAATAGTTTTTAAATGAAGTTCAGGGATGTGATGTGATCAGGGACATAATCCAGACTTCGTAACATCCACGCCCGCCAGCGTAAACACACGTCCGAAGGCCCACGAACATCATCGAACGCACAAACTAAACAAAACTTAACTTAGGTAATTTACAAAACATAAAACTGTGACCAGTTTTTGGGTAAACTCCTATTACATTTATTATGTGATAGTTATACTTGTATGTAATAATGAGTATTAAAGGTAAGTGCCTAATATGTAATGTTAATTAATAAAAATGACATCCTTGACATTATCTACTCATTATCTACACATTATCTACTCAGCCCTTGACAAAAATGAGTTTCCGATTGGACTCTTCATTGACCTAAGAAAAGCCTTTGATACTGTTAATCACAACTACCTCTTACTTAAACTCCAGCATTATGGAATCCGAGGCCTTGCCCTTGACTACATCCGATCCTATCTTAGTGACACACCAATATGTAACCATCAATGATACAACTTCTTCCACTCTACCAATTACCGTTGGAGTGCCACAGGGCAGCATCTTAGGACCTCTTCTATTTCTTATATATATAAACGATCTGCCTAATGTCTCTAATATTCTCAAACCTATATTGTTTGCTGACGATACTACCCTTATCTACTCAAACCTCAACCCACATACACTAAATAATGTTGTGAATAATGAATTAAAAAAAGTCCACTTATGGATGTCAACGAACAAACTAACATTAAACATCGAAAAGACTTACTACATCTTATTTGGAAGCAAATCATCAAATGCAATTCAGCTACAGATAGACAACATTAACATCAGTAATAAAAATGATGGCAAGTTTCTTGGCCTATTCCTAGACAAGAGACTCAACTTCAGCACCCACATTCAACACATAACTAAGAAAGTCTCTAAGACAGTTGGTATACTCTCCAAAATCAGATATTATGTTCCTAACTCTGCTCTCCTCTCACTATATTATGCACTAATCTACCCCTATCTTAATTATGGTATCTGTGCATGGGGGTCTACCACTGCAAACCACCTTAAGCCCATCATCACACAGCAAAAATCTGCTATCAGAATAATAACTAACTCTGCTGTCAGACAACACTCAGCTCCATTGTTTAAATCCCTAAACTTGCTAAATATTAACTCCCTCCACACATTCTCTTGTGTCAACTACATTTACAAAACCCTGTTCTCAAATGCAAACCATGCTCTGAAACTCTCCCTGGACAGATGTAATAGGACCCATTATCACCACACCAGAAATAAATATCTCTTTGATATCCCCAGGGTCAAACTTAATCTGTGTAAACACTCTATGCAAATTAAGGGACCTAGTCTATGGAACTCACTCCCTAGTGAATTGAAAAACTGTAAAACTTTTGCCTTATTTAAAAGCAAAACCAAAAAGTACCTAACTTCATCTATTTAGTTTCCTACACTGAGCTTTAAATTTGCTCTGTACCTAGTGTTACCCAATCTCCTAATTTTTATGTAATATCAAACAACCTTATCATTGTGTTCATTGCTGTCTTCTTCTATGTGCTAGCCATATGCTGTATTGTGACTACCAATTTTTGTCAACTACCATTCAAGCTGTCATTGCAACCAATCTTATATTGTTTCTGCTGTATTGTGCCTACCAATTTTTTGTCAACTACCATTCAAGCTGTCATTGCAATCAATCTCAGCTACCTATGTGCTTTAATATACTGTACCTACAATTTTCTCTCATCTTTTTTTCATTTCATGTAATCTGTTATCATTTTTTTGTCTATAATTTTTGCAAGTATTTACCTCCTTAAAATTTTCTTAGATTAAGGACCTGCCCGAAACGCTGCGCGTGCTAGTGGCTTTACAAGACTGTAATTACCATATTTGTATCCTCACATTCCTTATGTACATTCTTGTATATGCATAAATAAATAAATAAATAAATGAAGTCAGATGCTTGTCTGTACGTAGTTTGTGTTGTTTTGGGCGCTTATGTACTTGTGCGCTAGCTGGAGTTCACAACTGTGCACGCCAACAAGCGTTAATAATAACATTAATAATAATAAAAACAATAATAATAATAATAATAATAATAAAAACAATAATAATAATAATAATAATAATAATAATAATAAAAACAATAATAATAATAATAATAATAATAATAATAATAATAATAATAATAATAATAATAATAATAATAATAAAAATAATCATTTATTTACAGGAAAGTACAATGGGTTGGTGAGATTACATAAGATAGGGTTTTTTATCTGTAGTTCAAAAACTACAACAAAAGTTAAATTAATTAACAGAGGTAAGGACTGGTAAGGATATATGTCTTAAGTACTATTATTGTGGAAGTGGGTAGTACATGATACACTTTTTGAAGCACAAGGTCGGAAACTATGAGGATGGAATTAATCAAACGAAGAAAGGAAGGAAGAAATTATCAGGAGAAAGCACCCAGCCATTACGGCTATATAGCACTTGGAAGGGGTCAGGATAAGGATTTGTAATAATTACCTAAGTAATTACCTAAGTGTAGTCACAGGATGAGAGCTACGCTCGTGGTGTTCCGTCTCCCCAGCATGTGGGGAAGGAATGGTGCCCGCAACCACTTGGACGGTCGGGGATTGAACGCGGACTTGCATGAAGTAAGACCGTCGCTCTACAATCCAGACCAAGTGGTACGAAACGTTCTTTATTTGTTTGTTTGTTTATTAATTTATTTTGTAACGTACGATTATGTTACGTTGTTCAGTAGATTAGATACACAGTGTTTAGTGATTTTCATATTTATTTAGTAGTCCGGGATACAGCAGTGTCGTAGACGTCGAGACAGAGCTTGGAGCAGAGCAGAGAGCTGAGTGTGGCCGGAGTCGTGGAGCTCTATGTGGGAGAGTGTTGTAGCTGGATGTGGTCCTAGTCTGCTGTCAGCTCTGTGTCGAAGCTGTTTATAAATAAATATAAATAAATAAATATGTTTATTCAGGTAAGGTACATACATACAAGTGATGTTACATTAATGGATTGATATAGAGATAGAGCTAGTACATACAATGCCTAAAGCCACTATTACGCAATGCGTTTCGGGCAAGAAAAACATTAATATCTAGAACTTAATACTAATTCAGCATAAAGAATAAAAAGTGTTGAAAACAAATACAAATAAAGATAAAAAAAAAGGGGAACATGACTGAAAAAGCAGCACAAATACAATAGGTTGACAAACAGTGTTGATTAAAAAAAAAATAATAATAATAAAATAACAGACATGGGTTGACAATATAGGAGTGAGGTGGGTTACAGGGAATTTATTAGGTAGTGTTTAGTTTTTATCTTAAACTGGTTGAGAGAGGTACAGTCTTTAACATGGTTGGGAAGGTCATTCCACATTCTGGGTCCCTTGATTTGTAGAGCATTTCTAGTTTGATTAAGTCGTACTCTAGGAATATCAAAACTGTATTTATTCCTGGTGTGGTGCTCATGGGTTCTGTTACAACCTTCAATGAAGCTTTTGAGGTCAGGATTGGCATTACAGTTCAGCGTTTTATATATGTATAATACACAAGAGAGAATGTGCAGTGACTTAATATCTAACATATTCAGAGATTTGAGTAAGGGTACCGAGTGATGTCTGGGGCCAGAGTTGGATATTGTCCTAATAGCAGCTTTGTGTTGGGTAATTAGAGGACGTAAATGATTTTGGGTAGTAGAACCCCAAGCACAAATACCATAGTTGAGGTATGGATAGATGAGGGAGTAATAGAGAGTCACCAGGGCAGGGCGGGGTACATAATATCTGATCTTAGAAAGAATGCCAACAGTTTTTGAAACTTTTTTTGATATATTTAGAATGTGACCCTGGAAATTCAGCTTGTGGTCAATGAGAACGCCAAGGAATTTGCCATCTAATTTGTTACAAATTTGAGTATTGTTTATTTTGAGATTTATCTGATTAGAGGATTTATTGCCAAACAGAATATAAAACGTTTTATCAATGTTAAGGGTGAGTTTGTTGGCAGTTAGCCAAAGATGGACTTTCTCTAGCTCAGTATTTACTGTGGCATTTAGAGCAAGGGGGTCAGGACTGTAGTAAATGAAGGTTGTGTCGTCAGCAAATAGAATTGGTTTGAGGTGTTGGGAGGCATTTGGAAGGTCATTAATGTAGATGAGAAAGAGGAGAGGGCCAAGTATGCTGCCCTGAGGAACACCAATGTTGATGGGTAGGGTGGGAGAAATTGTATTATTCACAGAAACATACTGGAGCCTGTCAGTAAGGTAAGATTTGAGGTATTGCAGGGAGTGTCCTCTGACTCCATAATGATGTAATTTAAGAAGAAGGTTTTGATGGTTGACAGTGTCAAAAGCCTTACGCAGGTCCACAAATAACCCAACAGGAAACTCCTTTTTATCAAGAGCTGCGTGAATTAAGTTAATCATACTAATAAGTGCATCGTTAGTGCTTTTTTTGGGTCTGAAGCCATATTGACAAGAGCTAAGTATATTGTGTTTGGCTAGAAAAGAGTAAAGCTGCTTGTAGATTAGCTTTTCGAATATTTTTGACAAGTTAGTCAGGATTGATATAGGTCTGTAGTTGTTAACATCAGTGAGATCACCACATTTGTAGACAGGGGTTACTCTTGCTTTTTTTAGAATGTCAGGAAAGGTTTGGAGTTCAAGTGACTTGTTGAAGAGCAATGCAATAGCAGGGGCTAGAGATCTGGAGGCTTTTTTGTAAATTAAAGTTGGTATCTCCTCGAGGGCACTAGACTTGGTTTTAAGGGAAAGGATTATTTCATTGACATCAGTGGAACTAGTAGGCTTTAGGTACAGAGACTGTGGAT